CATCCTCCGTCGCCAGAGGCCGCAGTGGGAGTTTCCGGCAACGGGACTGAATGGTGGCGAGCACACGCGCAGGAGCGTGACTGATGAGCAGAAACAGTGACCGCGCCGGCGGCTCTTCGAGAATTTTGAGCAGCGCGTTGGAGGCGTTGGCGTTGAGTTCATCGACGGTGTCGACCACACAGACACGCCAGCCACCGACAGAAGCTGCGGTCGAACCGAAAAAGCCGATGGTTTCGCGCGACTCGTCCACCGTGATGACGGTCCGCATCGTGCCCTTTTCGTTGGCGGTGCGCTCCAGCGTCAGCAATCCGCCGTGGCTGCCGTTTGCGACCTGGCGCGCGACGGGATCATCCTGATCGACGTACAGACTATCGGCATCCTGTACAGATCGTGCGGAGGGGTCGGAATGCGCAAGCACGAACCGCGCCATGCGATAGGCCAGTGTCGCCTTGCCGATGCCCTGCGCGCCGCCGATCAGCCATGCATGAGGAATGCGACCACTGCGATAGGCCGTCAGCAATGTCTGCTCGGCATCCCGATGACCGAAAAGGGCCGTCGTTTCACGCGGAGCGCGGATAGATGTCTCAGGTTCGGCCGTGCGAGCGCTCATGCCTTGGTGGTCTCGCGGACGGAGGCCACAGAGAACAGGTGATCGCGCAGCGCCTTCCAGACTCGCTCCGCAACCGTCCTGGGATCGGCATCGGCATCAACCAGCGCGCAGCGCTGCGGATCGCTCTCGGCGATCTTGCGATAAGCTTCGCGCAGCTTCTCGTGAAAGCTCACGCCCTCACCTTCGAAACGGTCAGGAACCGCAGTCCCTCGCCGCTTGAGCGCGCGCTCCATTCCGACTGAAACCGGAACGTCGAGGATCACCGTGAGATCTGGCTTGAGATTGCCGATAGTCACACGCTCCATCGCCCGGATCAGTGTCGGATCGACCTTGCCCAGTTCGCCCTGATAGACGCGGGTGGAATCCGTGAAGCGATCGCACAGCACCCAGAGCCCCTGCACGAGCGCCGGTTCGATCACCTGACTGACATGATCGTCGCGCGCGGCGGCGAACAGCAGCGACTCCGTCTCGGGACCGAATGCCTTGGCCATTCCCGAGAGCAGCAGATGCCGCACGATTTCCGCACCGGCCGAGCCGCCCGGTTCGCGGGTTGTGATCGTCCGCAGCTTGGCCGCGTTGAGACGATCCGCCAGCAATTGGATCTGCGTCGACTTGCCGGAACCCTCGCCGCCTTCAAAGGTGATGAAGCGGCCGCGCGGCGGCTGTCGCGGTTTGACAGCGTCGGTCATGTCAAAGCTTCTCCGCGCCGGCGCGGAACAGCCCGATGACGAGCTCGCTGGCGCCGTCGATGGCGCGGCGGGTGGTCGAGCCCGTCTCGATCGTTTCCGCTGCGACCAGCGGAGATTCCAGTGCGATGTTGCTGCCGCGCCAGACCTTGAGCGTGCCTATCCGCTGACCCGGCTGGATCGGCGCGCGCACCGGCCCCGTATAGACAATGCGGGCGATCAGTTTGTCGGTGCCGTTCCGTTGCACCATCACCTTGATCGGCTCCGGGCTCGCCAGTTTGACGGAGCGTGAATCACCGCCGAACACCTTGGCGTAACCGATAGTCTGATCCTTGTCGAACAGCGTCCGTGCCTCGAAATTGCGGAAACCCCATTCGAGCAGCTTCTTCGCCTCGGCGGCACGATCATCGGCATCTTCAAGTCCGTTGACCACCACGATCAGCCGCATGCCATTTTGTACGGCAGAGCCTACCATGCCGTAGCCGCCCTCCTTGGTGTAGCCGGTCTTCAGTCCGTCCGCGCCTTCGAGCATGGTCAGCAGCGGATTACGGTTCTGCTGGCGGATTTTGTTCCAGGTGAATTCGCGCTCGCCGAACAGCTTGTAGTTATCGGGATAGGTCAGGATGATGTGCCGCGCGAGCATGCCCAGTTCGCGCACGGTCATCTTGTTGACCGGGTCCGGCAGACCGTTGGAATTTCCGAACGTCGATTTTGTCAGGCCGAGTTCACGCGCGCGTTTGGTCATCAGCGCAACGAAGTCGCGTTCGCTGCCCGCGATGCCTTCCGCCAGCGCGATGCAGGAGTCGTTGCCGCTCTGGATCAGCGCGCCGTGCAAAAGATCGTCGACGCTGACCTTGCTGTTGATCGCGGCGAACATGGTCGAGCCGCCGGACGGCGCCCCACCCTTTCGCCAGGCGTATTCGCTGATCCGGTACTCGTCGGTCAGCTTGATGTCGCCCTTCTTCAGCGCGTTGAAAACAACCTCAGCGGTCATCAGCTTCATCATGCTGGACGGTGCGCGGAGTTCGTCGGAGTTCTTCTCGAAAAGAATACTGCCGGACTTTGCCTCGATCAGGATCGCGGTCGGGGCATCGATCTCGTAGCCCTCGTCCTTTTTGGCACCCTGCACGCTGTTGTTGGCTGCATGGACCCCGCCACCAAGCGCCAGACCAGCCATCACGAGGACCGCGGCAAGCGGCCAGAACCGCCCATACGGACGCCCGCTACTCCGGGATGTTCTGAGAATGGCTGCCATGTTGAGTTTCCTGAGGATCGCCTTGTAACAGTTGGGCTGATACCAAACAACGGACAGCTAGCCGCTTCGGTGTGCTCTCGGCCTTCAATATGTTGAAAAGAGGCAGAAAATCGATGTCGTCATCGCGAATGATCTCAGCCAACGGCATTGAGATTTTTGTGACCGAACAGGGTTCCGGCCCGCTGGTACTGCTGTGTCATGGATGGCCCGAACTCTCCCATTCGTGGAGGCATCAGTTGCCGGCCATCGCGGCTGCCGGTTTCCATGTCGTCGCACCCGACATGCGTGGTTTCGGGCGGACATCCGCTCCCGAAAGTATCGATGCCTACTCGATCTTCGATATGGTCGGCGACATGGTCGCGCTGGTGGCGGCGCTGGGCGAAACCAAAGCGATCATTATTGGCCACGATTGGGGCGCGCCTGTCGCGTGGCACGCCGCCCTGTTCAGGCCGGATATCTTCACGGCCGTCGGCGGGCTGAGCGTTGCGCCGCCATTCAGGGGGCGCGAGCGGCCGCTGGATGCGCTGGCCAAAAGCGGCGTCACCAACTTTTACTGGCAGTATTTCCAGAAGCCGGGCGTCGCCGAAGCCGAGTTCGAGCGCGATGTCGATTACACCATGCGCGCGGTAACCTTCGGCGTCGATGCCTCGCTATTCCTGAAGGACGGGCACGGCTTTCTGGGCGACACGACAATCCCGCGCCCCCTGCCCGCATGGGTCAGCGAGCAGGACCACGCGCATGTCGTCGAAACGTACCGTCGGACGGGGTTTCGCGGCGGCCTGAACTGGTATCGTAACATCGATCGGAACTGGGAACTGACGGCCCCTTGGCAGGGCGCGAAAATCCATCAGCCGTCGATCTTCATCGCCGGTGCCAACGATTCCGTCGTCACCGGCATTCTCGGCGGAAAGCGCGTGACCGAAATGGACCGCGTGCTGCCAAATCTGAAGCGCAAGCTGATCATCGAAGGTGCAGGCCACTGGATCCAGCAGGAGCGCCCCGACGAGGTGAACGCGGCTCTGGTCGAATTCCTGAAGGGTGTGCGGGGCTGATCGCGGGGCGCGTGGGGCTCAGTAGAGCCCGCGGCCGGACATCAGGTAGAGGCTGTTGTCGCGAGATGCTGGCGCATAGGCCGCAACCGGCCTTGTCGTCGCGGGAGCTTCCTCGGCAGCCTCCTCGACCTCAGCCGGAGCACTGCGTTGGAAGCGGCGTCCGCCAGGCCGCGCGGCGCGCGACGCCGAGACCTCGGATGCACCTGCCGCAGCCAGGTCTTCCTTTGTATTGCCGAGTGTATAGGGCCGCCCGGTGGGCAGCGGAACGTCACCCCGGGTCACCCCGCGGGAGGGTGAAGGCGTCATGTCCGGGATGAAGGCGCGGGCCGAGGCGACGCGCACGGTCGATGGTGCGGGCGCAGGTTCGCCGGTCCGCAGCGTTGCCATCAACTGGCGGTCGTCCGATCCTTCCAGCGGCGCGCGGCCGACATACTCGACCCGGACCCGGCCAACGCCGTTTTCGCGGAATTCGAGCAGCTTGGCGGCGGTGTTGGAGACGTCGATGAGCCGGTTGCCATGATACGGCCCGCGATCGTTGACGCGGACGACGACCGATTTGCCGTTGGCCAGATTGGTGACGCGCGCGTAGCTCGGCAGCGGCATGGTCGGATGGGCGGCGGTGAGCGACGTCATGTCGAACACCTCGCCATTGGCGGTCAGGCGGCCGTGGAAGGCATCGCCGTACCAGGAAGCCATTCCTTCGGCGCGATAGTTCGGGTTTTCTTCGGGAACGTAGGTCCGGCCAGCGACGACATAAGGCTTGCCGACGCGATAAGTGCCGCCGCCCCGTGGGACAGCCTCGCCGAAATCGACCACGCGAGGACTGCTGGAGACGCCGTATTTGGGGTCGACACGGCTGGAAAGCTTGTTCGACGAGGCGCAATTGGCGACCAGCAGGCACAAGGCTCCCGCTGCCGCGATACGCGCGGCCGCCCCGCCCGATTCCGTGACCCAAATCCCCATAGAACCCCAAATAGCATCTTTCGCGGCCGCTTGCCTACCGGGCACCGCGAGGCCGGATGATGGCACTCATACGCCGCTTACCTTAACTCATTGCTTCCATGCCGAAAACGCCCTGAAGCGCGAGGTGGTAAACCGGAGATTGATTTTGTGGGACGTCCAGACAACCTGTGGTCGCCGCATGGCCGAACCTGACCGCTTGAGGGCGGCGTTCGGCAGGCACGCTTTTGCCGCCCCTGTTGCCGGTGCGTGACACACTTCAATTGGGGCGGCCCGGTCGTCGCCAAGTACTGATAGCGTAAGCCTCCTCTCCTCCCGCGTTGAAAACTTAAACCCGGCCTTGCGCCGGGTTTTGGTTTTGACGGGTGCAAGGTCTGGCAGACGCCGTAACTATGCCGACGCGGACCGTGTGAGATATCGCTTACGCGGAATGATGGCGGAAGGGGTGGGATTCGAACCCACGGTGCCCTTGCAGGCACGCCGGTTTTCAAGACCGGTGCCTTAAACCACTCGGCCACCCTTCCTGCGCTCTGAACACCAGCACTTAGCAAAGCGGAAGAGGCAGCGAAAGAGGTGATTGCCCTGAAAGGGCGCTCCTTGATTGACCATAGGATGTTGGCGCCTTGTCGGGCAACCCGTCCCCGGGCCGCGCCTAACTCTGGTTCATCAAGCAACGATAAAGTCGCCGGCCGTCAGCGAATGGACACCGTGAAGCTTGATATCGATGGGGCCACCCGAACACATTCGCATACACCAGCGTTGCATCGGCAGTCTGCGTTCAGCAGATCGATCGTGGTGTCGCTGTACGTGAGTTGCAGCCCCTCGGAGCCCAGATGCGTGATGTTGAATGCATCGTATGGTGCATAGCTGGGAGAACCGCTGAGCAAAACCGTTCTCGTGCCGCCGCCAGCAAAGGCGACGGTCTCACGCTGGCAGTGGCACGCCGGGTTGCTTGTCGAACCTGTGCGCCAGCCAGGACGAGATCGTCGCCGGGACAAATCCGACAAGTCCGTAGAGCAGATAGTGCTTGAGCCCCGTCTCGCTCCCTAGCGTGCCGTAAAGAATTGCCGTTGCGCAAAATGCGACGAGACCGGTGAGGAACATCCGAGGGACCGTACCAATTCTCCTGACATGGAAGAGAATGTCGTCGACAGCGCCGATCATCAGCGCCGGGATGATCCCGAACAGGTAGTTGTAGGGGATTGTCATCAGCAGGACCTTGAACAGTTTCTTCACAACATCGGCTCCGTCCCAATAGCCTTCCGGTGTCCCGAGAACGAGAAGGAAAAAGCCTGCCACCAACGGTCCTATGGCTGCGAAGATGATGTATCGTTTCATTCCATCCCTCACCCTGCCCGGCCTTCACGCATTCAGATTGTTGCGGGCAATTCCGCTCATAAGAAAACGAGAAAAGAATCCGCGCAAGTGGCTAAGCTCCGGACCGGTTCGTCGCGGCCATAGGCCGGAGCGGCAGGTCTTGCGCCCCATGCCATAACTTGATGCCCGAGCGGTCGGCAGCCCTTACCGCGCGCCCTTGAGGGTGCATGACGTGGAACATGTCGTTTTCACCCCTGCGCTACAGGCCTGACAGACGGCCATGCATTGCTCGAGGTTCTTTGGATCATAGGGGCTGTAGAGTTTTGTTGCACATGCGAGCGAAGCTTCGGGTTGTTCTTGCTTGATCCCGAACGATTGCAACGCAATAAAAACCAGAGCCACCAGGCCGACACCAATGGTCATGAAAATGATCGCGCCGCGGACCACGCGCGACCGCTCGTGTCGCTCAGCCTTGGTCGTTCCACCAATATGACTGCCGGTCACCGGAGGGCTCCTCCTGCAACCCAACGCACCGGATACGGAGGCGGTTCCAAGTCGGACCGCCCGCCGCTGAAGTCAGGCAAGCCGTTGCTTTCCGGGCTTCTGTCTCAATTGGCTCTGGTTAATCAAGGATTAAAGGCGCGTCCCGGCATTCGTGCTTTGATTCAAATTTTCCGAAACTTTCGCCCGGTAGGAATACGCTTTGATCAGGGAGTGAAGCCAATGGCTGTTTTCAGAAAAGAATCCCGCAAGCCCCGCCATACCATGCGGCACGACGCGTGGATGCTGCTCGACGGCGGATTTGCGAAACGCAATTGCACTATCCTGGATCTGTCGTCGGGTGGTGCGCGCATCAAGCTCATCGATACCGGGCCGATCGGACACAACCTCAGCCTGGCGCTGACGGGTGACGTGCGAAAGGTGACGCACTGCCGGTTGATCTGGCGAAAGGACAAGATCATTGGCGTGGAGTTCAGGGGGCGCACCTGATGCGTCCCTGTGTCAGTTTCTACTAACGGAGAGGTGGCTGAGTGGCTTAAGGCACCGCGTGCGGTACACGGGCAACCGTGTCGGAGGTTCGAATCCTTCCCCTCTCCGCCATTATCTTTCGATGCCCAGGTAAACCTCAGCGACGGTTGCGTTTGCTGCTCGTGGTGGCTGGCTCGACCTCAACGGGATAAGCGGCGGCGCCACGGCGAAACGCCAAGCGCCAGTTCGGAGCGCAAGACCCGTTCAGGCCACCAGTGCTCGCCTGACATTGGGCCATCGTGGAGTAATCGCATTGCTCGATTGCACCGCTCCAGCCCGAAGCATAGGTCATGCAATAGGGGTATTCGGTCGCATGGGCCGGAGCCTGACCGAGAAAAAAGAAGCCAGTGAGCGCCAGCGGCGCAAGATAAAGGTAACGCATGTTGTCCTCGATTCGTGTTGGCCGCATGAGACACCAGCGCGGGTCCCGGCTCAAGCCAACGCGGTTCGCCTGCTCGCAGGTCAGAGAATTGGCTCTATCTTAGGCCGGTTTCTGCGGCCCGAAATCACGTATGCGTGTTGCGGTTCGATGCCATCAGCCGGATGGGTGTCGTCGAAGGAAGAGCAGCATGGATCTGTCACCGAATGATGTCACCTTCGTTTGTTCTTTGCGGATTCCTCGTTATGCCGGTTACACTGCTCATGAGGTCGCCTTTTCGGGGACCAGATCATGCCTCAGCGCCTAGCCAATATCAGGAGAAGCCGTGAGCGATCCGGAACAGGACAATCGAAAGCGTAATCAAAAAATCGCCGAGAACGAAGCCAAGCGCGAGCTGAAGAGTGACATCCGGCTCTCGACCTGGGCGATCGGCGTAGCCGTTGTTATTGGCCTGATCGTTCTGGCGATCTTTCTGAAGAGGTAGACTTTCGACGTCCTATTTGTTGAACGTCATGTCCACACATTTCAGGACATCCGGTCCGACGCCGACGCTTAGCAGAATGCAGCCCTTGGCGCTGAGCTTGGTGCTGTCGCTGACCCAGATCGCGGTCCCACCAGACCCAAAGAATGAATTCGTATTGGGTGGTTCGGTTTCAGTCGCATCGAACTGGTAGCTGGAATCGCTGGGGAAGATACGCGCCTTCAATTTACAATCGCCGTCGGTATCGACCTTGAGAACTTCCTTGTTGTCGCGGGTGACGCCGACGCTGACCTGACAGCGATAGAATTCGGATGTCTTTGTATTAAAAATGTAAGCAAATGATTTGCAGGAAATGTTTTGAAGCTTGCCGGCGTTCAGTCCGCGGCCGCAGGATATCCGCTGGTTGCTGCTGAGCTTGATGTCGTCTGCCGCGCGCGCTCCGGAAAGACCCGCGGAGACAGTCAGCGCCAGAGCCGGCATAACTCCAAGAAAGAATCCACGAAATTTCTTCATCGATTGACCCCTATTATCCGTGCGTGCTGCGGCGAAAATCATGCCGGGCACCGCACGTCCGGCGTAACTCTAATGTAGTTTTTGGCGGTAGGCCATCGGCGGATCCGGGCTCACCCATGTGCCAGTGCCTGCGCCCTTAACTGTTCAACAACATTCAACAGGCGGCTTTGCCCTTGTTCGCCGATGGCCGCTTCGCGCGCCTCCTGAATGGCGTCGCCGAGCCTCGGGAGCGGGAGATCCCCATCGCATGTCGGTTTCACCAGACGGTCGATGATGACATTCCATTCGGCCAACCCGTTCTGATAGGCATCGCCGTGTCCCTTAATGAGGTTGGCGGTTCTCACAATCGCGACGGTCGCTTCCGGCTGCTTCACCAGACTGCGATCGACCATGTGCAGCCATCGCTCCACCCACACCCGCTCCAGCTTGAAGCGCTCGGAAAAGGGGCGTGTGATCCGCGCCGCGGCCAGCCATTTCAATCGTTGAAGCTTGAACCTGGTTCTCGAACTAAACCGCAATGTGACACTTCTGCGTGCGAGCTTTGCAAGACGCAGGCGCTGAAATAGATCGAGAGCCGGGGCTGCCGCCTTCGGCGGAAGCATCGGGATGACCTCGTCCCAGCGGAATTTTTCAACCCGATCGAGGGACAGCGGGTTGGGTTCGGCAGTCGCGCCGCCCGCTTCCGCCAGCTTCAATTCTGCGATGCGGATCGGATCCTCGAAATGCATCCGGTCCGACAACAACTGCGCCAGTTCCGCCAGGTTAGGCACATGGTGCGCGGCTGGACCGACATACCGTTCGATCCGCTCAAGATACGCCAGCGCGTAATCCGGGTCCTGATAATCGATCAGCGAATGGACGGCTTGGCTGACAATGGGAGCCACGTCCGCAGGCAACTGGGACATCAGCCGCGCCAGCGCCGCGCGGGCGACTCGCGGATTTCGTGTCTCTTCGCCGAAATATCGTTCCTTCAGCAACCGGAACGGCGACGGCGGAACTTTGACTCGAATCTTCACGAGGTCGCCTGTGCGCCGGTTTCGGCAAGCTGCGCCTCCAGCCTTCCGAGATTCTGGAATAGCCGCGCGCTGACCAGCCTCAGGAAGTAAAAGCCGAATGCGGGATTTTGGACGTAGAGCTCCTCGACCTTTTGATAGGTCACGCTAAGGATGATCCCGCCCTCAAGGCATTCCAGCGTTTGAGTCCGCTTGTTGGATGGCGAGAGCATGCCGAGTTCGCCGACGATGGCGCCCTTCGGCAGTTCGATCCCCGACTCCACAAGCCGGAAACGTCCGCTGACGATGTAGAACATCTCCTCGGCCTTCTCGTACTTGTAGAAAAGTATCTCGCCGGCCTTGCATTTGCGCTCGGTCATGAACGGCTTCAGCCACGCCATGGACAGATCGCTGTTGACCGACTTCTTTACTTCGCGGACCAGCAGCAGCATTTCCCGCAGCCGGTAGACGTTAAGCGGCAGCAGGATCATGTGCAGCACCATCACCGGATAGTGATGATGAACCACTGAAAATCCGATGAGCAGAACGTTGGTGAGAATGCCGAAGATGCGAAGCGGGATCATCGTCCGCATGGTGTATCCGGCCACCACAAACGCGGACGCGATAAAGCCGCCGGCGCCGGAAACGAGTCCTGACATATCCATCGGAATCAACCTGATGCTAAAGGAAATCTGGTATCAATTATGCCGCGCCGCGCCTTATGCGACAACGGTTCCGGCGTGGTGGTTCGCAAGTCCGCATGGTATCCGGCGCGCCCCGACAGCGGACCTGCGAACCAAAACCACACCAAAATCATATATTCTTCCGGTGTCCCTTAAAATTCGACGTTCGTAACGAACGTGCTGTAAAATGAAGCGAACGCCGGATTTGGGACACGGATCGGCCGATGTGTTAATCGGACCCAAGTCTTGTGCCAAAATCCGTGCTGAGCGCGCTGCCAAAACATGCGCTCCGCTCAAATCTCAATTGACAGCCCTTCCCTTGCTACCACGGTCCCCGGCCGCGCCTTCGCGGCGGCAGCGGCAATACGGTCCATCTCGTCATCGTCGTGTTCGGGATCGTGGTGAAACAGATAGAGCTTGCCAACCCCCGCTTCATTGGCCAGGCGGACGGCCTGCTGCCAGCTTGAGTGCCCCCAGCCGACATGCTCGGGCAACTCCTCGTCGGTGTATGTCGTGTCGATGATGACAATCGACGCGTCGCGTGCGAGAAGGCCGAGGAGATGTTCTACATCGTCAGCGGACG